ACAACCAAACCACAACCTGTGCGCACACACCCACACCAAATGCACACACACATACACACATACACACACACACATGCACACACATAAAAAAAAGGGGCCTAGTGTCTAACGACATGTGCCTGGACAAAAGGTAACTAAACACTACACACTACACACACACCCCACCCACCACCACACCACCACACACCACACACCCCAACACGCGCGAACACACACACACACACCAACATGCACACACACATACACACACGCACATGCACACACATATACAACAGGCCTAGTGTCTAATCGACATGTGCCTAGGACAAAATGGTAACTAACACACACACACACCATGTGCGCACACACACACACACACCAACACGCACACACACATACACACATACACACACACACATGCACACACATATACAACAGGCCTAGTGTCTAATCGACATGTGCCTAGGACAAAATGGTAAGTAACACACATACACACACACACACACACACACCACACACACACACACACACACACACACACACACACACACACACACACACACACATACACACACACACACACACACACACACACACACCACACACACACACACACACACACACACACACACACACATACACACACGGGGAACCTACAAATAAACATGATCATTTAATCACCAATAATCTCGTTCCAATAATCGTAATTATCATGAGAGAATAATTCAGGTCGTCCCTCGTGCCTGTGTTGTTATATTATACTATTACCTTTACTCAAACTGCTTACATTAACATTGTTAGTGCATATATTATTATTATTATTATTATTATTATTATGATGATGGATAATGGAGAAGCACCTGGAGAGTGGATGGTAATCCAGTCAGATCTGAGGAAAGGGACGTCCCGTAATTATTAAGGGCAGATTACCTCCAGTTCCTTGGATCACAATCTCTCCTCCACCATCCCTCCCCCATCCCCTTCCTCCACCATCCCTTCCCCATCCCCCTCACCAACATCCCTCCCCATCTCCCTCTTCACCATCCCTCCCCCTCCCCATCATCCCTCCCCACCTCCTCCCCCCACCATCCCTCCCTATCTCCTAACCACAATTTCCATCAACATCCTCATCCCGACCATCTCTCCTCCCCTTTCCCACCTTCCCTCCCCATCCCCTCCACCACCCTTTTCTCCCCCTCCCCACTATCCCTCTACATTCCCCTTTGCACCATCCCTCCTCATCCTCTTCCCCAACCAACCCGCTCCCATCCCCTACTCCACCATCCTCTCACATATTCCTTCGCCACCATCCCTCCTAATATCCCCCACCCAACCATCCCTTCCCACCATCCCTCCCCACCATCTCTCCCCAACATCCCTCCAACACCACCCCTCCCCCACCATCCATCCCCACCATCCCTCCCCAGCATCCCTCCCCACCATCCCTCCCACAATCCCTCCCCACAATCCCTCCCCACCATCCCTCCCCATCATCCCTCCCCACCATCCCTCCCCACAATCCCTCCCCACCATCCCTCCACCACCATCCCTCCCACCATCCCTCCCCACCATCGCTCCCCCACCATCCCTCCCCACTATCCACCCCACCATCCCTCCCTCACATCCCTCCCCCACCATCCGACCCCTACCATCCCTCCCCACCATCCCTCCCCACCATCTCTCCCCACCATCCCTCCCCACCATCCCTCCCCATCATCCCTTCGCCACCATCCCTCCCCACCATCCCTCCCCACCAATCCCTCCCCACCATCCCTCCATACCATCCCTCCCCACCATCCCCTCCCCACCATCCCTCCATACCATCCCTCCCACCATCCCTCCCCATCATCCCTTCGCCACCATCCCTCCCCACCATCCCTCCCCACCATCCCTCCCCACCATCTCTCCATACCATCCCTCCCCACCATCCCTCCATACCATCCCTCCCCCACAATCCCTCCCCACCACCCCTCCCTCACCATCCCTCCCCCACCATCCCTCCCCACCATCCCTCCCCACCATCCCTTCCCACCATCCCTCCATACCATCCTCCCCACCATCCTCCCCACCATCCCTCCATACCACCCTCCCCACAATCCCTCCCCTCCATCCCTCCCCCACCATCCCTCCCCCACCATCCCTCCCCACCATCCCTCCCCACCATCCCTCCCCACCATCCCTCCATACCATCCCTCCCCACCATCCCTCCCCACCATCCCTCCATACCATCCCTCCCCACAATCCCTCACCACCATCCCTCCCCACCATCCCCCCCCACCATCCCTCCCCACCATCCCTCCCCACCATCCCTCCCCACCATCCCTCCCCACCAATCCCTCCCCACCATCCCTCCCCACCATCCTCCATACCATCCCTCCCCACCATCCCTCCCCACCATCCCTCATACCATCCCTCCCCACAATCCCTCACCACCATCCCTCCCCACCATCCCTCCCCACCATCCCTCCCCACCATCCCTCCCCACCATCCCTCCCCACCATCCCTCCCACCATCCCTCCCCACCATCCCTCCCCATACCTCTCCTTCATGCTGCTTTCTCCCATAATGCCAATGAGCGTTCTTGATCCAAGGAGCTGGAGTTATTCTCCCTTTTCGAAATATTTCTCCAATTAACCCATTTTAAATCCATTTTCTTTAATCATTAATTTCGACCCATTTTCTTTAATCATTAATTTCGACCCATTTTCTTTAATCATTAATTTCATCCCATTTTCTTTAATCATTAATTTCATCCCATTTTCTTTAATCATTAATTTCATCCCATTTTCTTTAATCATTAATTTCATCCCATTTTCTTTAAAATCGGCCCCTTTTTTTCTGGCACTGTTCTTAAATCCAGAGTTAATGGAGGTAATAATTGTCACCCATTCACCATATTATCTCCTTCGACTTCTAACTCATTTTTGTGTGGTGACGCAGGTCGACTTACGTCACGTCGACGAGAAGGAAGGTACCAACGTTGTCGACATGGGCGTCGACCTCACTGAGTTCTACATGTCGGTCGAGTGGGACATCCTGGAGGTGCCAGCAGTGAGGTGAGTGTCGACCTGAATGTCGAGTGTCGACCTGTGGGTCGAATGGGACGTCCTGGAGGTGCCAGCAGTGAGGTGAGTGTCGACCTGAATGTCGAGTACTGACCTGAGTGTCGAGTGTCGACCTGTGGGTCGATTGGAACATTTTGAAGGAACAGGTGCTGGGGAGGGACAAGTGCTGGGGAGGGACAGGTGCTGGGGAGGAACAGGTGTTGGGGGACAGGTGCTGGGGAGGGACAAGTGCTGAGGAGGGACAGGTGCTGGGGAGGGACAGGTGCTGGGAAAGGCACAGGTGCTGGGGGAGGGACAGGTGCTGGGGAGGGACAGGTGCTGGGGAGGAACAGGTGTTGGGGACAGGTGCTGGGGAGGGACAAGTGCTGAGGAGGGACAGGTGCTGGGGAGGGACAGGTGCTGGGGAGGGACAGGTGCTGGGGAGGGACAGGTGATGGGGAGGGACAGTGCTGGGGAGGGACAGGTGCTGGGAAAGGCACAGGTGCTGGAGGAGGGACAGGTGCTGGGGAAGGCACAGGTGCTGGGGGAGGGACAGGTGCTGGGGAGAGACAGGTGCTGGAGAGGGACAGGTAGTAAGGAGGCACAGGTGCTAGGGAGGGACAGGTGCTGAGGAAGCATAGGTGCTGGGGAGGGACAGGTGCTGGGGAGGGACAGGTGCTGGGTAGGGACAGCTGCTGGGGAGAGACGTGCTAGGAGGAACAGGTACTGGGGAGAGTCAGGCGCTGGGGAGAGATAGATGCTGGGGGAGGGACAGGTGCTGGGGGAGGGAGGGACATCAATACATAAAGGAACATGTCACCGATCATGTAGGTGGGGAGAGAACCATCCCCACCACCCAAGCATCCCCACCCCAACACTCACCAGGGGAAGGGACACCAGTGGTCTCTGGGATATTGATGTGAGTGACTGGTGATGATGGGGTGTGGTGATGGTGGTGGTGACAGTGTGTGGTGATGGTGGTGGTGACAGTGTGTGGTGATGGTGGTGGTAACAGTGTGTGGTGATGGTGGTGGTAACAGTGTGGGGTGATGGTGGTGGTAACAGTGTGGGGTGATGGTGGTGGTAACAGTGTGTGGTGATGGTGGTGGTGGTGACAGTATGTGGTGATGGTGGTGGTAGCAATGTGTGGTGATGGTGGTGGTAACAATGTGTGGTGATGGTGGTGGTGACAGTGTGTAGTGATGGTGGTGGTAAACAGTGTGTGGTGATGGTGGTGGTAGCAGTGTGTGGTGATGGTGGTGTGGTATTGTGTGTGGTGATGGTGGTGGTGACAGTGTGTGGGGATGGTGGTGGTAACAGTGTGTGGTGATGGAGGTGGTGTTAGTGCGTGATGGTGATGGTGACAGTATGTGGTGATGGTGGTAGTGACAGTGTGTGGTGATGGTGGTAGTGACAGTGTGTGGTGATGGTGGTGGTGACAGCGTGTGGTGATGATGCTGGTGATAGTGTGCGGTGATGGTGGGGGTAACAGTGTGTGGTGATGGTGGTGGTGGTGACAGTATGTGGTGATGGTGGTGGTGACAGTGTGTAGTGATGGTGGTGGTAACAGTGTTGTGGTGATGGTGGTGGTGACAGTGTGTGGTGATGGTGGTGGTAGCAGTGTGTGTGTGATGGTGGTGGTGATATTGTGTGTGGTGATGGTGGTGGTGACAGTGTGTGGCGATGGTGGGGGTAACAGTGTGTGGTGATGGAGGTGGTGTTAGTGTGTGATGGTGATGGTGACAGTATGTGGTGATGGTGGTGGTGAAGTGTGTGGTGATGGTGGGGGTGACAGCGTGTGGTGATGCTGGTGATAGTGTGCGGTGATGGTGGTGGTGACAGTATGTGGTGATGGTGGTGGTGAGAGTGTGGTGATGGTGGTGATGATTAGTGTGTGGTGATGGTGGTGGTGATAGTGTGTGGTGATGGTGGTGGTGAAGTGTGTGGTGATGGTGGTGGTGACAGTGCGTGGTGATGGTGGTGGTGACGGTGTGTGTGATGGTGGTGGTGACAGTGTGTGTGGTAATGGTGGTGGTAACAGTGTGTGGTGATGGTGGTGGTGACAGTGTGTGGTGATGGTGGTGGTGACAGTGTGTGGTGATGGTGGTGGTGACAGTGTGTAATGATGGTGGTGGTGGCAGTGTGTAATGATGGTGGTGGTGGTAACAGTGTGGTAATGGTAATGGCAACAGTGTGTGGTGTTGGTGGTGGTGACAGTGTGTGGTGATGGTGGTGGTAACAGTGTGAGGTAATGGTGATGGTAACAGTGTGTGGTGATGGTGGTGCTGACAGTGTGTGGTGATGGTGGTGGTGATAGTGTGTGGTAATGGTGAAGGTAACAGCGTGTGGTGATGGTGGTGGTGACAGTGTGTGGTGATGGTGGTGGTGAGTGTGTGGTGATGTTGGTGGCGACAGTTTGTGGTGATGGTGGTGGTGATGTGTGGTGATGGTGGTGGGGACAGTGTGTGATAATGGTTGTGGTAACAGTGTGTGTTGATGGTGGTGGTGCTAGCGTGTGGTGATGGTGGTGGTGACAGTTTGGGGTGATGGTGGTAGTGACAGTGTGTAGTAATGGTGGTGGTAACAGTGTGTGTGATGGTAGTGGTAACAGTGTGTGGTGATGGTGGTGGTGATAGTGTGGGTGATGGTGGTGGTAACAGTGTGTGGTGATGGTTGTGGTAACAGTGTGTGGTGATGGTGGTGGTGACAGTGTGGTGATGGTGGTGGTGACAGTGTGTGCTGATGATGGTGGTGACAGTGTGTGGTAATTGTGGTGGTGATGTGTGGTGATGGTGGTGGTGGTGAGTGTGTGGTGATGGTGGCGGTGAGAGTGTGTGGTGCTGGGGGGTAGTGGTGACAGTGAACGGTAATGGTGGTGGTGACAGTGTGTTGTGATGGTGACAGTGTGCTGTGGTGGCCACAGTGTGCTGTGGTGGTTACAGTGAGCTGTGGTGTTGACAGTGTTTTGTGGTGCAAGTGTTGATGACAGTGTGTTGTGGTGGTGACAGTGTGTTGTGGTGGTGTTTGTGTTTGTTTTGGTGGTGGTGACTGTGTTGTGTTGATGGTGGTGATAGGGAGTTGTAGTGATATGGTTGGTGGTGATGGTGAAGGCGATAGGGAGTGGTGATGGTGATAGGGTGTGGTGGTAATGGCAGTGGTGATAGGCTGTGTTGGTGGCGATAGGGTGTGTTGCTGATGGTGATACGATATGGTGGTGATGGTAATAGGGTGTGGTGATGATGGTGACAGTGTGTGTTGTTGAGTGTGATAGGGTGTGGTGGTGATGGTGATAGGGTGGTGATGGTGATAGGGTGTGGTGGTAAAGGTGGTGGTAATGGTGATACGGCGTGGTGATGGTAGTAATGGTAGTGGTTTACCTGGAGAGAGTTTCGAGGGTCAACGCCCCCGCGGCCCGGTCTGTGACCAGGCCTCCTGGTGGATCAGCGCCTGATCAACCAGGCTGTTGCTGCTGGCTGCACGCAAACCAACGTACGAGCCACAGCCCGGCTGATCAGGAACTGACTTTAGGTGCTTGTCCAGTGCCAGCTTGAAGACTGCCAGGGGTCTGTTGGTAATCCCCCTTATGTGTGCTGGGAGGCAGTTGAACAGTCTCGGGCCCCTGACACTTATTGTATGGTCTCTTAACGTGCTAGTGACACCCCTGCTTTTCATTGGGGGGATGGTGCATCGTCTGCCAAGTCTTTTGCTTTCGTAGTGAGTGATTTTCGTGTGCAAGTTCGGTACTAGTCCCTCTAGGATTTTCCAGGTGTATATAATCATGTATCTCTCCCTCCTGCGTTCCAGGGAATACAGGTTTAGAAACCTCAAGCGCTCCCAGTAATTGAGGTGTTTTTATCTCCGTTATGCGCGCCGTGAAAGTTCTCTGTACATTTTCTAGGTCGGCAATTTCACCTGCCTTGAAAGGTGCTGTTAGAGTGCAGCAATATTCCAGCCTAGATAGAACAAGTGACCTGAAGAGTGTCATCATGGGCTTGGCCTCCCTAGTTTTGAAGGTTCTCATTATCCATCCTGTCATTTTTCTAGCAGATGCGATTGATACAATGTTATGGTCCTTGAAGGGGAATCCTCCGACATAATCACTCCCAGGTCTTTGACGTTGGTGTTCGCTCTATTTCGTGGCCAGAATTTGTTTTGTACTCTGATGAAGATTTAATTTCCTCATGTTTACCATATCTGAGTAATTGAAATTTCTCATCGTTGAACTTCATATTGTTTTCTGCAGCCCACTGAAAGATTTGGTTGATGTCCGCCTGGAGCCTTGCAGTGTCTGCAATGGAAGACACTGTCATGCAGATTCGGGTGTCATCTGCAAAGGAAGACACGGTGCTGTGGCTGACATCCTTGTCTATGTCGGATATGAGGATGAGGAACAAGATGGGAGCTAGTACTGTGCCTTGTGGAACAGAGCTTTTCACCGTAGCTGCCTCGGACTTTACTCTGTTGACGACTACTCTCTGTGTTCTGTTAGTGAGGAAATTATAGATCCATCGACCGACTTTTCCTGTTATTCCTTTAGCGCGCATTTTGTGCGCTATTACGCCATGGTCACACTTGTCGAAGGCTTTTGCAAAGTCTGTATATATACATCTGCATTCTTTTTGTCTTCTAGTGCATTTAGGACCTTGTCGTAGTGATCCAGTAGCTGAGACAGACAGGAGCGACCTGTTCTAAACCCATGTTGCCCTGGGTTGTGTAACTGATGGGTTTTTAGATGGGTGGTGATCTTGCTTCTTAGGACCCTTCCAAAGATTTTTATGATATGGGATGTTAGTGCTATTGGTCTGTAGTTCTTTGCTGTTGCTTTTACTGCCCCCTTTGTGGAGTGGGGCTATGTTGTTGTTTTTAGGTAACTGAGGGACGACCCGTGTCCATGCTCCCTTCCATAGGATGGAAAAGGCTCGTGATAGGGGCTTCTTGCAGTTCTTGATGAACACAGAGTTCCATGAGTCTGGCCCTGGGGCAGAGTGCATGGGCATGTCATTTATCGCCTGTTCG